GTTCGCTTTGGATGACTCCATTGAAGTTAAACCACTTATTAAGAAAACTACGCCGCTCCAATTCCCAATTATAGGATGGTTCCTTAACAAAATAATTTTTATGGTATCATGCTACTACACTCATAACTATATAAACCACATAAGCAACAACCAATATGGTTATCTCCTTGAGCTCTTCTCTTTTACATTTTCTTGAAGTAATTCTGGTATTAACTAGGCTAACATCCATTTTGTCTCAATCTACACCAAGTGAAACTAATATAAGAGAGAAAAATCTAAAATAATTAAAATGAAATACAAAATAATTTCAAAATATATTATATATATATGTCAAGTTTCTATTACGTATAAATTCATAATAGTTCAATATACAAACATTAGTAATGATAGGTAATTAATAAATGATATCATAATAATTGAAAATAAAGAAACAAATTCATTTTATTAACATAGTCTGAAAATATATTGCACTAGCATGAGCACACCTTACATACATATTTTTCAAGTTATAGTAGCGAGTACTCTAAACATAAAATATTAAAGAATGCACCCGCTTAGGCATTTGACTTTGCTTTACAAATTGGACCTCTGTTTCATTCTAGAAATATATCAAGAAAAATTGGTATCTCCTATGTTCTTGTTTTGTATTTAAGACACAAAACACTCTTGAATCTTATAGCAATATGTGTGGCATTGATTAATAGTCTATGCACCCAATGCATAACTAAAAATGAGTGTAATAGCATATAAATTAGGAAATATAACATGTTCCACCAGAAAAGAAGAAACAATCCAGTTCAAGTAGGTAACAATTTTATTTAGGATTACTTCGACTTGGATTAGAAACCATTAAATTAATTATTGTCTTGGGACTCTAGTGAGAGATTATATAAATTCCTTAACATGAAAATTATTTTTTAAGAAGTAAATACTTATAGTGAGAGTATCAAGTCTGTGATCAAAGTTACTATTATTTTTGTACAAAACAAAATGCTTTAATGGTTATTTTGGTAGAAAGAATTGTATAAAAGTATATATGCAGTTAAAACAATTAAGCCTAGTTAAGGATCATCATCATTTATTTTAAAAAAAAAATTAAGCTGAGATATATCTAACCGTTATCAAATCATTATGTGGTTATCATGACAAAAATAAATGTTATAATGGACCAGTTACTCTCCTGGCTTAACTGGAAGAACATGCCCTTACAAAAAAATATTAATAGGAGAGTAACAAATAAAAAAATCATTGGCAAAGGTAGTGTTTCATGTGCTGATAGATATAGATTGTCATTAATCAGTAAACACAGGTTCTTGCTCTTAAGATAATTAACCAAATTTATTAAAAGCAATAACATTATTTACTGTTCTATATTTTCAGATGGTTGGAGTGATTGATTTACCAAAGCGTTTTTATTATTTATTTATATTTTTATGGTATATACTATAAAGTTGATGAGGCACAATATGAATTATTGTAGTACAAATAATATTAGATTACTAGCACAATATGCTTCATAATATGTCTTGGTTTGGTCATGTTAGAATTTTATGTCTGTGCCATTGTTCAAGAGTATACAAGAGTGAGTTGGTGTGTTTTAGCTAAAGTGGCTTGTATGTTCAAAAATACTTGTACTTTCATGGACCTCTTATATAATCTTTAACTTGTTTCTAACACACCAATCTTGGACTGTTGGACTTGTGCTTCAATTTTTGGCCTGGATTTGTGATAGTGATGCGGGTCCTAATTCAGGCCCAAATGAGGAAACTTACATTAGTGGAATAACTGACCCAATGATGTCAACAAGGATTCGTAGGGTGCCAAAGTACTTGGCTGACTATAAGCTGTGAGAATTGGGTTATGGGTGAGGGAACATTCATGTATGACGTGTCAGTATTTTAGTGAGTTTGTTATGAGTTTGTTATTAACTTTTCTGTTATATAGTGCTGGTAAGGAATGAATGAAGTAAGAAAAGAATATTTCCATCATTTCTTTATCTCGTTTCTGCAGGAGGCTCCTTGACCTCGAATCAAGGCAATATTTCTCTATCAATTTGTACTTTAAGTTTGGGCATATAAAGCCACAATTTTTGCTTTCATTTATTATCGAGACTTGTGCTGTTTGGTTTTATTTTGCCTTTTTTGTTTGTTTTTTTGCCTAACCCTATATATACAAATTTTGGGCCTTTTAATTTTGTTTGAGACTTTATGTTTTTGTGGCTTTAAGTTTTCCCTTCAATATGATCTCTGAAACCATAATATCATAGTAGGGGGAATTATTTCTTCTCTTTATTTATTCAAATGATTGAGTAGTACATATATAGGAAAAATAGAGAACCATAAAAGGAAAAAAAAGGCAATTCCTATAATAACTAGGAAGTAGGAATTAGATAGTTCCATGTTTATAGTTCAAACCATTAAGAACTAAACCAACTTTTCTATTACTGTTAACCTGTAAAATCTGATGTGGGGCACCTGATGTTTATTTTCTCCTAGATGGCTTTGCTGTTTTTTAGAAGATCTTATTTTTTTGTTCTAAACTTTTGGGAATAATGGTGTTCTTGTATATTATCTCTTATAACTATTTAATTCTCGAAACAGAGATAATGGCTCCTCTAGATCATCACTTGTACATGGTCTTGATAGTCTGGAGGAAGGTTGCCTAAAGGCTTCTTCTTCTTACTTGCGTGATATTAATGAGCATGATAATGATAAAGCCATAGAGAGTTTGCAGGACAGAGTCTCTTTTCTGAAACATACCATACTTTTGCTTCTACTTTTCTACCTTATCTTGATTATACTGAACTTTTTCCTTTGTTGTTGTCAAAATTGCTTTAATAGCACCATTTTGGGACTTTGGGGCTTTTATCTAAAAATCATCTTATTCTTCTTCAACTTCTCACCTTTTATGTGACAAATCAGTGATATTCTCTTTTGTAGAAAAAAACAATTTGCTCCATTTAGAACAAGGTTTTTTCCTCTCATTTTTATTATAAGAATATCTTGGTCATATGTGTCTTTAACCAAACAATGTTTCTTTTCAAAGAACATTTTATAACCTTTCTCAACTAGTTGTCAAACACTCAATAAATTCTCATCAATTTCAGGAACATACAACACATCATAAAGGAATTTTGTACCTGAATAGGTTGAGATTACTACAGTTTTATTTCCATTTACAACAATGTATTTGTCATTTCCAACTCAAACTTTTAACGTGCTTGCATTACTTAGTTCCTTGAATAGATCCTTGTTGTTTGTCATGTGGTTCATACAACCACTATTGATAAGCTAATTTTGACTTTATTTAATGCTAGAGAAGCATATAACAACAAATAGATACTCCCCCTCCTCTTAATCAACAACCTTTGCCACTTCCTCTTTATCAATAGCCTTTGTTGCCTCACCATGTGGCGGATAAGATTTCTTCTAATTTCCTTTTGCATTGGCTAATGTTGAAGTTGCTCCTGTTCCATCAAAATCCTTGTTTTTCTTGTACTTGGTCACATTTTGCTATTTGGCCAGTAAGGCTCCTTCGATTGTTGATTCCTACCTCATGAGCCTCTATTGCTCTTGAGCTTGCAAAACATGTATAATTCAGCCAAAGATATCTAAGATAAACGCTTTGTATTTTCTCAAATGGTTATTGATACATCATATCTCTCAGAAACTATAACTAGAAATTTTTTAACAATTCTAGAATTTCCAAATTTACCACCCAGCAATCTAACCTTGTTAACAATGCTAAACAATCTGTTCCAATAACCCTTAATCATCTCATACTTTTTTTATCTTTTGCGGTTTGAATTTCCCTATCAAATTCAGTACTTCCATGCCTCGAATCCGCTCATCCCCTACATACTCTTCCTTTAAATAATCTCAAGTTGACTTTGGTGTTTTGTTGGTCATGATCCTAGTAAATATGGTTTGAGAAACACTAGCAAATAGGCATGACTTTGCCTTTGCCTTCTTGGTTTGTTTTCTTTGTGGTACTTTATTTGGATCATGGTGAGATTTCCGGGCAATGAAAGCACATCATATTCCTCTTCCACAGTTTCCCACAAATCCAAAGTTTCTAGGTATAATTCTATTTTCACCGTCCAAAGGTCATAATTCTCTCCATCATAGATAGGGGGAACAACATGTGAGAAACTTAATTCAACTTTCATTTCACAAGTCCCTCAAGAAGAGAGTTCGAATACCAAATTAATGCTAAGTATTTTAAATTTGGAATAATTAAGGAAGAATAACAAATAGAGAAGACAATGTGGGTGAAAAAAAGTACTGTGTTGTAGAAGCATATTAATTTTATTGAATAACTTGAATTTAAATACACAAAAATTACATAATGAAACTCACACGGCATAATTTTAGGAGCTGTTACAATACTCGAATAATAAAAAATAAAAACAAACTAATCTCCACTAACAACACTATAATATTCTTATCTTAACTAATTTATTCAAACAAAAAACTACTAATTTGACTAATTCAAACTAAAATTAAAACTGCTCTCACAGTATCTAAGAGGCACATGTTCTCAACAAAAATAAATAAAAAATTCAAAGACAAGAAGAAAGGAAGATGAAACTTATAGATTTCTGATCAGACTTACGATCTTTGAATACAAGAGAAGCATAACATGAAAATAATGACAAATAAAGCTACCCATAAATTTTGTAACGACCCATAACATAATAACTTAACAGACATGTCAGTACCATAAACTCAAATAAAATCTAATAATAGACACTGATTCATGTTCTCAACATTTACAGGTGTAATCATATAATTGGCCGCAAGTTGTTGACTTTGTATTTGTACACGAACCAGTGATGTGTACATTATGTCTAAAGTATGAAAACCTTAACCCTGATCCACCAAAGTCAACGCCACCGTGTACATGGTCCCGCTGTCTTGCAAAAGTCAACGCTTTCTGGCTACATACTACTGGAAAATCAATGACACACACCAACTTTGGCTCCCAAATTATGAAACAACATGGAATGTTCTTTAAACATTATTTAAAATTGACTCTTTGCTTGTGTTAATTTGGCTTGATCTTAATTGAGCGTGTGGTAGTTTCCTCTTCTCCTTGAACATGTCCCTTGCTTGCATGTTCTAGAGCTTCAAATTGAGTAATGGCAGCAACAGCAAGTGATTCACGTTTGGAAGCAGCCCAGAAAGCCATAAACTCAATTGGGTTGGGTTTTGACATAACACAAGATATATGTTTTGACAACTGTAAGAAGGGTCCAAGGTTGATATTTGTCAATGAAGAACAGTGCCGTAATCTTCATATTCCTGGAGGGGTTTCAATTGCAAATGTCCCTAACTCTATCAAATGTGTCCCAGGGGAATCAATTAGAGTCCATTCAGAAGTTCTCAACTTGGAACAGGCATCTTAATTATATATAAATGTTACTGTTATATTAAATATACTCATTTAACCGTTAGAAAGATGTTAATTTTGTGACCCTATAATGTCTTTCAGATGTTGATGCACTTCAACCAGCCAATGCGCCTTGCAGGACAGATTGCCACTGGTCATTTCTGTGCTTCATTTGGGTTATCTGGTCGACCTATAAAAGATTTTTATTCTATAAAGTCTCTTGCTTATGATGGGTGGTTCAATAAACGCTATGCCATTGAATTAGAGAAGTATCATGGTGAACTCCTTGATCATGTCAAAAAAGCAGTGCCACCATTGTGGGACCCTAAGGCCTTGGAAAGGTAAGACCCCAGAACTACACACGCTAACAACTGATATAATCATTAATCGCATGGTATTTGGGGAGAGGGGTGATGGACTCCTTCCACCATGGGAGTCCATCCAACGTGAAGCTCCAAGGGTGGCCCTCCATCAAGGGGGTTCAATTATAGTTAGGACTAAGAGGTAACATGTAACTTCAAGTATCAAAAGGAAGAGTTCTGACATTCAAATTGTGAGCTTCACTTGCACACTTACCATTTCAACAGACTTATACGATCATGATAGTTAGGTATTGTTAGTTCTAATAGTCCAATCTAATCATTCCTTCTGTCAAACAATAACAGTCCATCCAACAGATAAACTAAGTTTATATACATATTCAAGTCCAAACCCTTTTTTTGTTTTAGTTCATTTCAATCTATTTATAGACTACAATTAATGCTTTTTTTGTCCTTCTTTCTTTTCGCCAGATATAATTGATGATTTTTTTTCATTAATTACACCATAAATTTCAATCTGTATATTCCAAATATCTCCTCATGTGCTGCTCTTGTTAACTACTTGCTTGATTATCATGCTCTTTTCATTGTTGCAAATTTCATTATGATGGATATTATTGATTGAAACAATTGACATCTTATATTTGTAATTTCACAATAATAAAATTAATTGTACTGATTGCAAGGTTTATACAATGTTTTGGAACTCATGTCATAGTTGGGGTGAGCATGGGAGGAAAGGATGTTTTATACGTCAGACAAGAGAAACCATCAGATCTTGATCCAACTTCTATTCAGAAACTTTTGAAAGATACAGCTAGCATGAAGTTCGAGGATTCCGCAGAAAATCATTGCCTGGCTTCTGAAGATTTAAGTAACCAAAAGGTGATGTTATTGCATGTCTTTGTTAACTTACTTTGGCATTTCTGTATGTTTTCTAGGAAACAAAAAATAATTATAATAAAAAGTTTTAAATTAAAGAGTTTTGACGAAAATTTATACATTGGTTTGATTCTAAGGCAGGACTTGTTGATGTTTATAAAATGCTTGTTCGGTTATGCTCTGTTAATACATGTACTGCACTGCATTTGTGTCTATGTTCCTGTCGTGCAATTCAATAGATGTTACAAACAATAAAGCTTTTTAAATTTCCCAAGTGTATTGATCATCCATAAATTCTCTGAATTTGGTTTGCAGAATCTTTTTGTGATACATTGTAGGAGGGGTGGAAGCATTCAAAAGGTGTATCATAGTGAATGGTTGGAAACTATTGACTCGGAACCTGATGTAATATCAATGGTTCTTCTTCCCCTGACATCCCTTTTGAGTAGGATCCGCGGAAGTGGATTTGTGAGCTATGCCATAAGTCTCTATCTCCGTTGTAAGTCATTATTTGATTTGTTTTGTTGCATAAATATTGTTGGAATACAAACAAGTCTCACATCGATAAAATAAGAGAAAAAATAACAACTTATAAAACACACTCATACTCTAATGTTAGAGAGGTCTTTTGGGTTTTGACCAAAAGCAAAACCATGAGGGCTTAAACCCAAAACAGACAATATTTCATCATTGTGAAATTGTGTAATAATTTTATAAAAATAACCCTCATAACATATCTCCTTAGACGCAACGTTGGATGCGATGAAATTCCGCTCCATGAAAGGTGTCTTTTGGGTAATAACGAAAAGTAAAACCATGAGAGCTTAGATTCAAAGCGGACAACATCTCATAACCTCTTATAATGTGATATATAAAGACAGATTTTGCTGCATGAAAGGTTAACTCTCTTGTTTGAGGGGTCTTTTGAGTAGTGACCAAAAGTAAAACCGTGAGGACTTAAGCCCAAAACGGATAATATCTCATCATTGTAGAATATGTTTGTGTAATAACCTTATAAAATAACCCTCATAAAATATCTCATCAAACACATACCATAAAATAACTTTTTGGTACTTTAATCTCAACCTGAATTTCATAAAATGATCATTATGTGAAAAAAAAAATTACTAGACATATTTGCTTTAACCAAGCCCCAAGTCCCGGGGTTTTTCAAGTTAAAATTCTTGGTGTTAGTTTTTTGTCCTCACTTATTTCACTTTTCATTTGGTATCTATTTTGTGTTCACAAACGAGGGAATTTGGTTTATTAATTTTTGACACTTTTGTTGTAACACTTAAAAGGGTTAGAATGAAAAACTCTCAAGTATTTTTATTAATCTATTTCTGAAACTGAATTAGATGAACCTGCATTTAAACTGTGGCTGGTGAACAGACAAACCTCCAATCGAAGACCTTCATCAGTTTTTGGAGTTTCAGCTACGGAGACTATGGGCACCAGTGCCTAGTGAGACGGATCTTGGTTTTCATCGAAAACATCAAGCGGAAACCTGGATACGATTTAGTATTTTCGGTCCCAAGCTTTACATAAATAAAACTCCAGTAAGCTCCCCATTTTGTACTTTTAATACACATCTTAAGAATTGAAGTTTCCCTTACTTTTAGTATTTCTGATGACAGTTAAGATTTTTCCAACTGTCAAAATAATATATTTTAAATTCAATACAGTTTTTTGTTTTATTTATAAATTTGGTTAAAAATTACTTATATGTAAAAAAAATGATTTGTGCAAACAAATGATACTTGTTTGCTAGCTTAGTTTTAATTTAATCTTAGATTTACTCAATCAGGAGTTAGTTAACCACTTGCTGTAACAATTTTAAATTTTAATGTATAGAAATTAAATTCATAACTCAAATATGATAATTTTTGCTCCCTGTTGTATGTGTGAAGTTGCAGATTGATTTTCTCGTTTCACCCAAATGCACCTCTGTTTTATGTACTAATTCTAACAGTTTCTAGTAAACTGATGATAGCATTGTCTAGTATAATAGTCTTACTACTAAACACCAACTCTGCATTTTACATGCGTAGCAATAGGAAAAATACTAACATTCCAGTAACTTTGGTAACACATGAGAAGTGCAGTATCTATACTGAATTTTATAATTTTGGTTCCTTTTTCCTTGATGGCAGGTAGATGTAGGTAGTAGACCAGTAGTTGGGCTTAGATTACGATTGGAAGGGTGGAGCAGTAACTGGTTGGCCATTCACCTGCAGCATCTGGAGTCCCTACCCATGTCTTTATCACTTTCTGACAACACAAATACTTACTTGTCTTGTTGTGACTCATCTAGCTGCAACTTGCATGAGAAAGTGAAATGGAACTCCCTTTCATATGTTTGTACCGCTCCTGTAGAATCGGATGATAGTGTTTCCATTGTGACAGGAGCTCAGTTACATGTTGAAAACAAGTGTCTCATTTTAATGCTGCGTTTCTCTGAAGTCATTGGTGCCACTCTGCTGAAGGAACCTGAGTGGAGTCGATCCTCTGGTTTCGACCAGTTCCTCATGTCTGGGGTCACCAAGGAAGAAATTCAGCAGCAAGGAATTGGTTGCCTTTCTTCACTGATTCAAGGTACATCTATAAATACAATGAGTTAACTTATGCAAGTTACATAGGAGAGATTTTAGTATCAAGATAGAGATACACATGATAAGGTACAAAGTTTCTTCAACAGATAAAATAAAGTGTGTGATACTGCTAACTGGATTTTAATCGTTCTGTTTTTGACATATATGATGACTTATCTCTCTTCTTTAACTAACCGTAGGAATTATTTCCAAAGAGGAACAAAGGGGTCGTCCAAAGCCAGGTGATAAGACTATTGGTTCTAGTCCATATTCTGCTGGATTCCCTTCACCAGTGCACACACCTAAGCTTCAAAGGTTTGTTGACACAAAAGAGATTCAGAGAGGACCAGAAGATACTCCCGGATATTGGGTTGTATCTGGAGCAAAGCTTTCTGCTCAGCATGGCAAAATATGTCTCCTTGTTAAGTATTCACTGTTTTCAATTAATATGCAAGGTGAAGCAGGGGCTTCATAGATCACTTCACCTTCCTTTAAACTTTGAAGTCAAGGGTGCCTCGCTGTTGCATAGTTAGCTGCTATTGGTCATGCTACGCGACATATTTGTTGTTTTTCATTTTATTGATACCTTTTCACGTTAAATTCTTCGTGTGTGTGTGCGCGGGAGGTTTTTATTCATACCCTTTGACATTAGACTCTTCCTGTGTTGTGTGCAACTATCAATTATGTGCAACTATCTTACTGCCCACAAAAGGACTTGAATGAGATACAACGCATCACTTTAGCACATAATTATTTCAGAAAAAAAAAAAAAAAAAAAAAAAAGTTCAAAACTGCTTTTGGTACAATTTCAATAGGGGTCTAGGTGTAAATAAATTTGAAAAGTGAGCCTGCCGAATGCAACTTCAGCATGGCAGTTCAATCATATTTCGAGTGATTTATGATTTTGGGGCCAAGCAAGAATTAGAAAATGTTTACATGTTAAAAGAGCATACCTAATATAAAGTTGCTAGTTACTTATGGACGAAAAAGATTTTCAGTTGAGAGGAACATACCCCTAAACTCAGGAAATTGCTGGTGTGTAAATAAAAAGTCCTACATTAGAAATAAAGAATCTAACATGACCTGAATAGAGGAAGAGCGTGAACCTTTC